GCTGAAGACAATGATCCATGTCAGGTGTAGACAGCTGACTTACATCCCTGGCGCAAGGTTATTGTACTTTGCAGCATATACATCTCCATTTAGATTCCAAATTTAGACTCACATTGTATAAACTTGAAGAAATAACCTCCCAGCTTTTCAATTGGATGATTACAGTTTTTGCATTTTGGTAATGCTTCTCATTTTCTTGCTTCATTTTCTGTGGGCTCATCCAATTCCCAGATATGATCTCCATTGCAAACGGGTTGAATAATAAATATGCCGAGTATGATTTTGTAAATGAGAGTTTGATAAAATTACTGTATTTATTCTGGTTTTAAGTTCATTTTAAAAAAAATTGAGATTTTTTTACATATATTTAAAATAAATTTTTATAATATATTACCTGTCATAAATAATGAAATTAAGAATAAATGTCTTCTGTTTTTTTCCCAAGGAGTTATGTGCATTCTTATTCTGACTTTGATGCTCTGCAAAAGAATCTTGTGATTGGCCACGGCAAAAATCTGGGCCCACAAGAACCGACCAACGAAGCAGTGTGGACGAGAATACCCTCGAGAGACCCTACTGGATACGCTTGAAAACAATGGCATCCTTATGTAAATAACAGCAATGCGAAATACCCTTTTAAAAGTTGGAGTCGCTCAAGTCAAGAGTGAAGGAGAAAACCAGGGCCGGTAATAAGAAAAGAAAAGCAGCCAACCTGAGAGCAGAGCAGTTAGTCTCTCTGTTTTCTACGCAGATTATAAATAATCGTTTGTATATAATTCCATGAAAGTAAGGCTTAGTTGCACATTTTAGAAGAAAATAAAAAGCAAGAAAAAGCCATGAGCGGCCTATGACGCTTTTAAGCTGGAAGCTATCAGGTACATGACTCTGTCTGTGGCCACCACACCAAACGCACTTTTGACAGTCATCTGTATATAAACCTAATACATTTCATATACGTGGGGCTCAATGAAAGAAAAAGTTTAGGTAAAAGGGCTAAAGAGAACCCATTGTTTCTCTTTTGCTGAGGATCATCTCAGACTCAAAGCCACATCATTTTTGGGTCTAAGAGATCTGAACTGGATCCCAGGCTGTGATTCCTGGCTCTGTATCAAATGGGCTCATCTGCAGATTCTGAAAGATTGTTCAACAGGCAAAGAACCCTTCACGAGATCCTTGGAGGAGGCCTTGGTAAGTCATCATCTTCATCATTTTGTATGAACTTCTCCCAGTTTTTGATCATGGGTTCTGTTCTTTCAATTCTTAAAACATCATAATTGTGATTGAAATTGTTATCCAGTATTGGAGTTCTTTTAGTATAAGTTTTGATTTGATTTAAATGCAAGATGAATTATGCAT